GTCACTTCTTAGTTGCATGACCCTGGGCAAGTCACTTACCCTTTGTTTGCCTCAGTTTCCTCATCTATAAAATGGAGATAATAATAGCACTTAGTTCCCAAGGTAGTCCCCACGAACAAGACACTCTATCGATTGGCTCTGGGCATTTTCTCTGTCTCCCATGCCTGGAATGCTTTCCCTCCTTATCTCCACCTACTGTCTTCCCTGGCTTCCTTTAAATTCCACCTAAAACATCGTCTTCTCCAGGAAGCCTTTCTCACCCCTTCCTAAGCCTAGTGTCTTCTCTCTGTTAATCGTTTCCTGTTTATCCTGTCTCTAACTTGTCCATGTCTGTATTTGTGTGTTTGTTGTCTCCTCTATTCGATTGTGCGCTCCTTGAGGGCAGGGGCCTCTTTTGCCTCTTTTTGTGTCCCTGTTGCTTAGTGTAGTGCCTGGCATATAGTAAGCTCTTAATAAATGTTGATTGATTGATTGTATGATAGTCAAATGGCTATTTAGGCAGTAGGTGCTGTTTAACATTTTTATCGATGACTTGTTTGTCCAAATCACAGATGACACAAAACCAGGAAGGATGGCTAAGAACAGGATGACAGAGTCAGGATCCAAAGTGATCTGCAGAGGCTAGAATAAAGGAAGGAAATAAGCATTTATTAAGTGTCCACTATGGGTCAGGCACTGTGCTAAGCCCTTTTTACAAATATGCTATTTAATCCCCACAACAATCCTGGAAGGTAGGTGCTATTATGATCCCCATTTTACAGCTGAGAAAACTAAGGAAGACAGAAGTGAAGTGACTTGCTCAGAGTTACCTAGCAAGTTTAGTCTGAGGCCAGATTGGAACTCAGGTCTTCTTGACTCCAAGTCCAGTACTCTATCTGTTGTATCATCTAGCTGCAATTGAGTTGGGTTAAATTAAGATGAAATAAGCACAATGTAAGGTGTTAACGGTTCAATTTTTAAAAATCAGCTTCTCCAGTACAACATGTGGGAAGCATGACTCGAGAGCAGCTGATCTGAAAAAGATCGAGGGGTGGGGTTAGTAGACTGCAGGTTCAACATAAACCAACAGTCTGTTATGGCAGCCCCCAAAGTGAGGAGGCTTGGTACCCAAGACGAGGGAGGTCATGCTCCTACTACTCCACGTCTGGAGTACTGTATTCAGTTATTGAAGGATCCTGGGAAGGATATTGACAAGATGAACATCTTCCAGAGGAAGACAGCCACAATAGTCAAGGGTCTTGAGATCATGCCATAAAAGTACCAGGAGAAGATGGAATAGGTGAAAGTGTGAGGTCTGACACCTGAATTCAAACAATCAACTTCACCAGCACCACATATGGGAAGAGAAGGCCTGGAGGGCAAATGACACTTGTTATCAAGTATTCCAAGGTCTGTCATGTGGGAGAGCGGACTCAGATTTCCTAAGCTTGTCTCCCGAAGGCAGAATTAGGAGGAATGGGGAGAGATGTTGAATCAGAGGCAAACTTCCTATTAGAGCTGTCCCAAAATGGGGAAGGCCTCAGGAGGTGTGGGTTTAAGTGGAGTCATTTCAAAGAAACATTAAGCATATACTTTTTGCCAGGAACTGAGGACACGAAGAAAAAGCTGGTCTCTTCCTTCAAGAAGTTTACGTTTTAATGGGGGACTTCCAGAGCTCTTCAAGCAAAGTCTGAGTGAGTACTTGCAGGATATGTTGTAGAGGGGATCCTTGTTCAGGTATAAAGGGGGCCCGATGGCCCTTGAGGTCCCTTCCAATGCTGAAATTCTATGATTCTGTGCCTACTTTAAGGATTTATAAGTCATTTTCTGATTAATAGAGTTAGAATCCCTTAAAATAGTTTGTCTCTTTAGGTTAAATATTTCCTTAACCTCATTTGAACTACTAGTTCCTAGCCAGTCTTTTTCTTCTAAACCTATAATAGCATAAAGACAAACTTTAGCCCTGCCCTCATTCTAATCAGCTAATGAGTAGGGTCTGAATTAATGAGGCATTACTGTGTTAAGTAATAATACTAACTGGATTCCTTTTTGCTTTAGGGATTCAAATAACTCATGTTTACCTTGTACACTGCAGGGAGTAAGGTGTAAGAAGACTGGAAAGGAGGGAGAGGGCTAGATCATGAAGGGCTTTGAACTCTAAGCAGAGCATTTTGTATTTATTCGTGAAGGCAAGAGGGGGCCCCTGGAGTGTATTGACTGGGGGTGGGGGGGTTACATGCTCAGACCGGTGCTTTAGGGAAATCACTTTAGTGATTGAATAGAGGATGTATTGAAGTAGGGAGTGACGAGGCAGGCAGACCCACCAGCCGGGTTATTACAATAGTGAAGGCAGGGTGATGAGGGCCTACACCAGAGTGGTGGCAGTGTCAGAGGAAAGGGCTGGCATAAAGGTCAAATCAACAGGCCTTGGCAATAGATTAGACATGGAGGGGTGAGAGATAGCAAGGAGTCAAGGATGACTCATAGATTGGGAGCCTGAGAGGATAGTGATGCCTTTTACATTAATAGGGAACATAGGAGAGTCAGAGAGGGTTTAGGGGGAAAGATAACGAGTTCTGTTTTAGATGTCTACTGGACATCCATTTGAAGATGTGTGAAAGAGAGTTGGAGATGAGAGATTCAGCAGAGAGGTCAGAAGAGAGTTTGGGGCAGGATAGATCAATTTGAGAATCATCACTAGAAAGATGGTGATTAAATCCATGGAAGCTGATAAGATCACCAAGAGAAATAGCATAGAGGGAAAAGAAAAGAAGGCCGAGGACAGAACTCTGAGGGACACCTACAGTGAGAAGGTGTGATCTGGAGAAGGATCCAGCAAAGAAAACTGAGAAGGAGCAGTTAGATAGGTAGGAGGAGAACCAGGAGAGAGTAGTGTCCTGAAAAGCTAAAGAGAAGAGAGTACCAAGGAGGACAGAGTTATCAACGGCATCAAAGGCCAAAGAGCTCAAGGAGAATGAGGATTGAGAAAAGGCCATTGGATTTGGCAATTTGAGAAAGAACAATTTTAGTGGAATGGCCTAGGTCATTCTACTATCGACATTTTAAGTGAACACTGAATTACAGTCTAGTAACCCTGGTTTTTTTTTTTAAGTCTTGCTTGACATCTTGGTGTTATGCCGCCATTTTTTTTATCACTTTAAAAAAATAAGATATTCCTAAAACATTTTTTAATCAAAGTCAAACTGAGTGGCCTACAGTCTGAATACTCCATTCTCTTCTTTTTTAATTGAGACATTTGGCCTTCTTCAATCTGGTAGCTTCCCTCCTGTTCTCCAAAATCTTTTAAAAAAATTACTGACAGCTCAGCAGTCACATCTTTCAGTGCTTTCAGTACCCAGGAATATTTTTCTTTTGGCCTCTTTCTTGGATTTTTTTTCCCCCGCTGTGAATTTCTGGGTGCCTCGATTGCCATCCTTCCTACTTGTAGCTGCTCTAGCTTGGTGAATATACATGCATAGGCAATCTTCCCCTTCCCCTTTCTTTTCCAGTTTAAAGTATCCTTGCAGATAAGATAAAAGGGTATCAACAGGATGATCATATAGTTTGGTGGATTCATAGCTAGTTTAATGACTGCCCCTCCCCCCAAAAGTGTTAATTAATCGACGGAAATCTAGAGGGAAGTCTCCAGTGGGAGCTGTAGAGTTCTGTGTTTGGCCCAGCCACGTCAACATTTTTTTTTTATGCTTATCAGATTTTCACATCATAGGCTCATAGATTTAAAGTTGGAAGTGACCCTGCAGGTATGTTATCTAATCCAGTTCTCCCATTTACCAGATGAAGGAACTGAGACAGAGAAATTAAGCGACTTGCCCAAAATCATACAGGTTGTAAATCCAATTCAGTAAACATTTATTAAACGCCTACTGTGTGCCAGGCACTATACTAAGCACCAGGGATAAAAAAAAAAGAGGCAAAAGTCATTCTCTGCCCTTGAGGAGCTTACAATCTAATGGATAGCAGATCCAGAATTCAAACTCAGTTGTCTGGTGACAACTCAAAGCTGGGAAGGATAGTGAATACACAAGATGGCAGAGTTGGGATTCAAAATTATCTCAATAGGCTAGAATGATAAAATGAAATTTAGAATACCAGAACTGGCAGGAACTTTGGAAATCATGGATTCCAGCCCTCTCCTGATATGTGAATCTCATCAGGTGGTCTTTCAATTACACCCAACATTCATTGAAAGTTTACTGTCAGCAAGCAGTGTGTGGCACTAAGCTCTCTGAGCTTATAGAGAGTATATAGATTATAGATTCAATCACAGAAGGGTGAAAGTTCAAGGGTCTGAATGTCATGTATTAGCTCACAATTATTTCATTGGAAAACTGATTGAAAGAACTAGGCGTGTTTAGCATTTATTCCTTTTTCCCACTTCCCATCTCTGAAGTAATCTCTGCAGACCAGAGAGAGGGTAGGTGCCTGGAGTTAGATAGAGCCAAGAACAGATTCCAGAAGTCGTAAACGGCCCCTATGCTGAGTATTTATTTTCAAGAAATGTTGCTCTCTTGTTGTCCCTGTGAGTCTGGGGTTGCTACTCACTCTGCTTTTACAACCTTATGGCTAGTCCAACCGGTGCTTCTTCTGAAATCCTTCGCTTTCTTTCCCTCCGGTCCTTTTACTCTGGTCTTTATATGTTAATTTCACCCTTTCTCCTGCCCCTTTCCCTTTTGCTCTAACTTTCCCCTCTTCATCCATTGTATATGTGGCTCCCACTCCATTTAAAAACCTTCCCTCCAATACTTGTACTAATGGTCTTTGTTCGACTTCATCCCTTGTGGATCCTCTTTCTGGCTTTTCCAGAACGGTCTTCCGGTGATAAGCTTTCTCTGACCCGAAATAACTTGTTAGTTTAACTAAAAACTCAGGTTGGCTTTTCCCGGGGTCAGCAGTTACTGCGGCCCCGGCCTGTCCTTGGCCCCGGCCATCGCCCTGGTCCCACATCTGACAAGCACCCCCCTTCCCCCTTCCCTCCCATCCTCCCCACCCCTTTACTCCCCTCCCCTCCCCAAATCCGCCCCCAGACAGGGGTCAAAGGCAGACCCGAGCATCACGTGTTCGCACAGCACCACAAAACGGCGAAGAATCCGCCTTTGGAGTCAGAAGATCCAGTAGGAGATTCCGGAGTCCTGCTGGGCCCCGGGGTCGGAGACTCCCTGCAGAATCGGGGCTGAAACCTCGGGAGACCTGCGGGATCCATTCCCGAACGCCAGAAGCGGGGCGCGTTCCTAGTTGGGTAGGGAAGCTCTTCTGGGGGAAGGCGGGGAGAGTTCCCCCTGCGCTCCGCGTGCGCCCTATTGTGTGTGAGAACCCCCAGGCGCTAGCCCCCGGGGAGCAGCAGACCCAGGACCCTCACAGCTCCAGCCCAGCCTTTGCCTTCCCAGGAAAACTTCCCAGCCCGGCCTGAGGGTGCCCTGCTTAGGGACCGGGGGCTGGGCACCGGGAAAGAGGAAGGAAGGAAGGAGGGCGGGCTGGAGGAGGCGGTGGTGGCGGCGCTGGCGCTGCGCTGTCGGGGAAGGGTTACCCGTGGCGGGGGCGGGGGGCCCGGGGCCGGTGCTTGCAGCGGGGCCCGGCCCAGGGCTTAGTCGGTGGTGGCGGCGGCTCCAGCCCGGGTGTGCACGGCTCCCAGCTCCTGGGGACGCGGCTCGGGGGCACGGGGAAGCAGCGGCTGCAGCTGTCTGCGCCCTCTCCCAGGGGCGCCCGGAGCTCGGCAGAGCAGCAGGTAAGACGCGAGCGGGAGCCGGGGGCCCGGGGAGCCCTCCCCCACTCCCTCGGCTGGGCTGAGGAACCCATGCAGGCCGCGCAGCCGGAGCACGAGCAGCCTCCGCCGGCCGGGAGCCCCGGGCTCCGGTGTGTCCCGGCCGGGAGGGGCCCAGATACCGGGCCCCGGGAGGGAGCGCCCGGCCCCGGGCGGCGAGGGGGGGGAGGGGTTGCAGGGCTGGAGACAAAGGGGAGGGGGCTCCCCGGGAACGGAGCTTCCCAGGGAAGGGGGAGAGAGAGAGAGGGAGCGAGATGCAGGGCCAGGGCAGCGGCAGCTGGAGGTCACAGATAATGTCACTTGTGAGGAATTTTCCCCACCCCCCTGGCCTCCCTCCCCTTACCCCCTCTCCACCGCCACCCCCCTTTGCCTCCTCTCCAGAACAGGGAAAACTTTTGTCTTGTGTGTCCCAGCTTCGTGGAAAAGGAATGGGCTCCTATGGCAATGCGGCCCAACCGGTTTTCCCCCCAATGGCCTTTTCCTTTTGGGAAGACAGTGTGCGCACTGCTCCCCAACCTCCTCTCCTCCTCCCTTCAGAACCCTTGGGAATGTATTACCCTTTTATAAGTACTGGTTCTTTTTCTGTTTTTTTTTTCTATTTTGGCAGTGAAGGTTAGGAAAGGGAAGAGGTCCAGGCCTCGTTGAGCACCTTCTTAGGCTTCAGTGACCCTTGGCTAGGGGTCTCAGGAGTTGGACTATTTGTTCTTTGGCCTGGGGTTAAGGAGACTACTTGGGATGAATTTAGTTAAATTCCATAAACATTTATTAAACTCCCACTAGGTGTAAAGCCCTATGCTAGTTGCTGGGGGTAAAGAGGTGAAATCAGACTTAGTCTCTGCCCACAAGGATAAATGTTAAACTTAACAGTATTTGACACCATTCACCACCTTCTTCTCCTGAATACTCTCTCTTCCTTAGACTTCTGTAACACTGCTTTTTTTCTTCTACCTGTCAGATTACTCCTTTATTGACCAGTCCTCTTCTTGTCCTCCAGGGTGTGAGTACCCCTAAGGCACTATCCTGTAACCCCTCCCTACTCTCTCTTTTGGTGATCTCAGCAGGTCCCGTGGATTTAATTATCGTCTCTATGCAAATTATTTCCAAATTTGTATTAGCCAGTGGCTGTAATCTCCCCTTTTCACTTGAATCCTGCATCACCAGCTCCAACTGCTTTCTGGATATCACCACCTGGATGCTGTGCTTGGCACGTCAGTCTCAACATGTTAAAAACTGAACTCTTCATCATTCTCTCTTAATCGTGCCCTGACTTCTAACTTTGAGGTTTATTTTGATGGCACTACCATTTTCCATTTATGGAGTCTGGAAAAGCTGGTATTATCTTTGACCCTTACTTGTCCCTCAGATCGAATCCTTTAGATTGTACCTTCTCCAAATTTCTTATATTTGGTTTCTCTCCTGCAACCTTTGGTTAAGCCCTCACCACCTCTTTCTTAGACTATTGTAATAGCTTTGTAATTAACTGGTCTCCTTGACTCCAATTCATTTTTTACAGTTGACAAAAATCTTTCTAATGTATGGATCTCATCTAATCATTTCTTGTCTTAAACTTTCAGTGGCATCCTGTTGCCTCTAGATGAAAAATATAGACTCCTTAGTTTGATACTTCAGATCTTCCAAAATCTGCCTTCGGCCTTGCTTTCCAGCTTGAGTTCATGTTGCTCTCCATTATATATACTCGGCATTTTAGCTGAACTGGACTGCTAGCTGCACTTTGAACTTGATTTGCAGTCTTCTGCCCCCATGCAATAATGTTGGCCATTCTCTATACCTGGAAAGTACTTCCTTAACTCTGAGAATCCATCTCTTCCCTGCAGGCTCAATTCAAATGTCACCTCCTCTTTGAACTCTTCCCTGATTCTTCTATCTCGAAGTATGCTCTCCCTCCTCAAAATTTCCTTTGGTCCTATTCCAGGGTCTTTGCTTTTTACCTTTTACCTTACACTTTCTTTTGCATTACACATTTGTCTGTATGTGTTATATTCTCCCCCAAATGGATTGTAAGCTCCTTGAGGACAGTGACCAAATCATTTTAAAATCTTTGTAATCCCCAGGCTGGAGTTGAGCTGAATCTAATTAGGCCCAGAATAGCAGTTCCTCTCTGGAAGTGTTAGTAACAATTGTTCATATTTTTTTTTGGCCCCATTTTGCTTTCCTATCCTCACAGGTATATTGTGTCAAATAAGTATCGTTATTGCCATTTTACAGATGAGGAACCTCCTCACAAACCTTACCTTTTTGCTTTATATTGTCCCAGAAGTGACACTGAGTTTTCAAAAGCCCAGCCAGCGAAACCCAGATCCTATACCAAGCTGGAGAGGTTCCCAGTGTAGACCTGTAGACTGATTTTGCAATCTGAGCTAAGTTTACATAGAGTCTTTGCTTACAAGTTGACCATCATCAGCTGATGGGAGTTTTTTGACCTATTGTAACTCACGAAGACAGTTCTACTGAAGGGCTGAGGAGGTGGGGATTGACTTGTCGGGGGGAGAGAAGAGATGTGTAATTTACATTTGTGGAAGGACTTACATGCTGGGAAACTGAGACTCAGAGAATTGAAATGACTGGCTTGGGTGACTGGAATTTGTCTTTGGTCTTCAAAAACAGTATTCTGTTGTCCCGAATACCTTGTGGTGCCTCCTGTGTGGAGAAATAGCCAGGTTTCCTTTACTATCGCTACTCCCTTCCATTGTAGGAGCTCTGCTTAGGTTCAGTATATTCTTGGATCTCTAGAAGAATGGATAAGGGAAGTACTTGAATGCTTTGATTATCAGTGCAGTTAACAAAACAAACATTTGCAGAAATGCTCGTGTGTAGTAAGAGTAGGTCAAGCTCCGTCTTCAGTGATCAAGATCCCCGGATAGCTAATGAGTTTGTAAACGAGGGTTCTGCAGGTCATCTTCTTCTGAGGACGCCTTTCTTCCTATCTTCAGATTAGCAGGGGGCTATTAACTGACTTACTGGTTTGTAATTGTTGCACCCATTTTGTAGCTGAGAAGAAAGAGAGCTAAAGTATAGAAATTCAGCTTAGGCAAGAAAATAGATCAGCCACTTGTAGGGCAGAGAAGGGATTTTAGCAGCTTCAAACACCCTTCTCTTCTGAAAGGGGCTGCTTGAGGAACCTGTCAATGCCAACGTGAGCTCTTGGTCAATGAAAAGGTACTTGACTGGGCGGATCAGGACAGATTTCTGCCTTTGGGTCTCAGTTTCATGGTCTGTACGATGGACTAGATGAAATCTGTAGTCTTTGTAGCTTTAAAACTTTTAACAAGCATTTATTAAACACCTACTATATGCCAGGCACCGTACTGGGTGCTTTGCAAATATTATCTCACTTGATCCTCTTAACATAAATAGGTGCTATTGTTATCCTCAGTTGAGGAAGCTGAGGCAGACTTGCCCAGAGTCACACAGGGCTCTGCCCACTGAGCATGATTACTATTTGCGTCTGGTCCTAGGCATGGGTGTCCACATCTCAGTTGAAAATGCATTTAAGGTTGAAGTCTGACTGCTCTTTGAGGTGGAATTTTCCTTTCTTAGGATTGCTTAGCATTTGAAAGGTTGGAGATGGAGGATGAAGATGAAGGAATAAGCTGACCAGTTTTGAACACACCACTGTGCTGCTAACTTAAGCCTTGAGTGACACCAGCTCCCTTAGCCTCCTCTTCGCTCTGATTGTAGGGCTGTATGGTGGAGTGCCAAACTCCTCCCAGTGTCTTCTTTTATAGAGTGCAGAAACTGGACTTCAGCTCACTCCACTTTGCTTCTGTTGTTCTTTCTGCTTTCACCTCCATGGAACCAGATGCTCACTCCCCAGGACCCCTCTGCTGTCCCATCCACCCCTCTCCCTTCTGCCTCCTTCTGTATGTTGTCTCCTTCTTTACAATGTAACCTCCTTGAGGGTAGGGATTTTTTTTTTTTTTTATGAAATGTATCTCCAACTCTTAGCAAGGTGCCTGGAACATAGTAGCGCTTAGCAATTGTTTATTGCATTGATAGAAATCTTGATGTAGTTTACACATATTCTCTGTGGCATTGTGGATAGAGCCCTGGACTTGGAATCAGGAAGACCTGAGACACTTACTAGCTGTGTGACTGAACAAGTTACTTAACTGCTCTCTGCCTCAGGTCTCTGATCTGTAAAGTGAAAGTGACAAAGCTCCGACCTCCTAGGGTTGTTGTGAAGATCAAAAGAGTTAACATATGCATAATGCTTTTAAAACCTGAAAGTGCACGGATGCACAGAAATGCTAGCTGCTGTTACTAGTTGTTACGTTCTGGCATCCCTGGACGGTAGAATGGTTCTTTGCAGGTTGCTTGGTCTGTGGTCAGAATGCCTGTTGAGATGTTCTTGGGTGTCATAGGTGAGAGAGAGCCAAAGCAAGAAAAAGCATGAGGTGTCTCGCAAGTCAGGTGTGGCTTTCAGGAGACAGCGGCTCAGGTGTAATGAGATCAGATGAGATGATATTTGTCAGGCACTTAGCATGGTCCTTGGCTTAATCAGTTCTGGTTCCCTTCCCTCCTCTGTCTCCTGCATTAGATTTCTCCCTTTACGTTTTTATGAAATGAAACCTAAAACTCTTCTTCATTTTGCAGATGAGTAAAATGAGGCCCAGAGAAAGGAAGTAACTTTGCCCAGGTCACAGAGCTGGGCTTGGCATCTTCAGTCCTTTGCCTCCAAGTCCTGCTTTCTTTCCGTCGTGCCACTTTGCCTCCCCGTGGAGGTCATCTTTCCATCGTGCAGATTGTAACTCTTCCTCGTGGAAGAGTACAGAATTCCTGCTCACGCCTTCTCGTAAGTTCTCCAAAGAGGATTCAGCTAATGCGCTGAAGATCTTCCCCTGGTCCTTGTTGTACCTGAGGGGTGCCAGTGGGGCACTTATGTTGTTCTGTATCTCTCATTTTTACTACATTTCCCTGCTTTTCTGGTCGTGTGTGTGTCCTTGATATTGTCTTACCTACTACTGTTCAGGCTCATGTCACTGGTACTATGCTACAATTTCCTTAGGTCTATCATAGGTTTCTCCCTTGCATTTTAGATTACTTGTAACTTTTATTCTTCTGAGATTGTGATAGTCGGTTTCAAATCTTAATAGCACCGTTGGGAGAATATTGGTATAAAAAAAGAGGAATTTGAGACAGCTGGTAATGCAGTGGATAGAGTGCTGGGCCTGGAGTCAGGAAGACCCCAGTTCAAATCTGGCCTTAGCTCTGTGACCCTGAACAAGTCACTTCGCTTCTGCCTGCCTCAGTTTCCTCATCTGCAAAATGGGAACTATAACATCCCCTACCTTGCAGGGTTGTTGTGAGGATAAAATGAGATAATATTTGTAAAAGCGCTTCGCATGGTGTCTGACGCGTAGTAGGTGTCATAGAAATGCTTGTTTCTTTCCCCTCCCCCGTTGGAGACATCGAGGAGTTTGGAATCACACTCTCCTAAATGTCGTCCAATCAGATCTCTTTTTCCAATTTACTGTCAATTTGTAGTACCAGTTCAGATTGTAAACTTTGGTGTGAGGAAATGAGGTATGGTGGAAAGTGGGCTGGATTTGGAGTCAGAAGTTAGTCTGTCATGTCTGATTCTTCATGATCCCTTGTGGGGTTTTCTTGGCAAAGATACTGGAGTGCTTTGCTATTTTCTTCTCTAGTGGATTAAGGCAAACAGAGGTTAAGTGACTTGCCCAGGGTCGCACGACTAGTGAGTGTCTAAGGCTGGTTTTGAATTCAGGTCATCCTGACTTCAGGCTCAGTGCTGTATCTGTTAAGCCACCTACCTGTTTCCTTAGAATCAGGAAGACCTAAGGTACTTATCCAGAAGACCTGGATTCAAATGCTGGTTCTGTCATTTACTACTTGTATGACTTTAGGTAAGTCATGTAACTTTCCTGAGCCTCGGTTTCTTCGTCTGTAAAATGACAAGTTTGGACTAGATGATCCTGAAGGCTTCTCCCAGTTCTAAGTTTCAGTTCATAGACATGGAAAAAAGACATTTAGGGATACCTGAGTCTTCTCAGATTCCTTAAAACTCTAAATCTGTGATCTTGTGTACTTGATGGACTCTCCATCCCATCATTGCATGGCCAGGGAAATAAGTGTTTCTCATCTATTCCGTTTTTTCACTATGGTTTATTAGACAAATCATTTTTGCATTGGTTGGATTTTAGCACAGGCTTTGTAGTGTTCTAAGCCTTGATACAATTGGTCCAATGCCACCTATGGACAAGAACATTTAGGGTAGAGGTGTCAAATTTGGAGCCTGCAAGACTCTGGAATACTCCTGGAACCAGATGAAATGGAATTGAGAAATGTTTAACAAAATAAAAATGCAACATAAATAATGCTAGTTTATGGCTTTCTAAATCATTATTGCTTCCCCCCCCCCCATTTCAGTTTGACATCGCTGATTTAGAGTATCTTGCAATCAGATTGCATAGAATATTTTTACAAATATGTGGGCTGGAAAGACCTTTTCTTACTGAAAGCCTTGTAGTGTGTTAACAACGATAATTCACATTTATATAAGTTTTAGTTTATAAGTAATTTCTTCAAATTTTTTGAGGTAGGTTGTGTAAACTGAACCAAGGGAGGTTAAGAGAGTTGTCCAGTGTTTATAGTGTTAGAGCTGTGTCTAGGTCCAAATTTTCTGATTGTGAATCTCTCTATTTTACCACCACTGTGTTCCTCATCTGACAATTTAATGTTCATTCATTGAGCTCTAGGCCCTGTTTCCTCCCCCCTTACGTTTCTCTCTCCCCACGGATCATCTGAAAGCATTTAAATTCCTTTCTGTGCTTCCTAGGGGAACTGAATTGGGAGATATAATGGTGTTTTGGAAAAGGACTGGCCTGACAGTTAGGAGGCATGGCTTTTAGTCTTAATTGTGTCATTAATGCATTGTGTGACCTTAGGCAACTCACTTCCCCTTTCTGGGCTCAGGCTGTCTTTTCATCTGTAAAATGAAAAAAGAATTGGACTAGATGCTTTCTAAGGTCCTTTCTATCTTCTTTGTTCTCAGGTCCTGTTTCCTTCTGAGTAGTTTTTTTATGTACTTTTTGGTTTTTTTGCACTTAAAAATTTTTTTATCTTGATTTTTTTCAGTTTACCTCTCTGGGTCTCAGTTTCCTAACCTGTAAAAGAGGAGTTTGTTTTGGGCGACTTCTAAAGTCCTTTTTAACTCTTAAATCTGTGATCCTCTGAACCTGTGTCCCTTCTCCTTTTCAGAGATTTTTAATTGCTCCCTGTTGCTCATAGAATAGGAATTCTTTATTCTACCCTCTGAGGTCCTCCTCAGTTGGCCTCAGCCTCTCTCAGGAACCCTATTACCTGTGACTTCTGTTTGTATACTCTGTGTTCCAGCCAACATGAGACTGCCTCCCTTGCCGGATTCTCATGCAGCTCTTTCCTATCTATATTTTATTGCTTGTGCTTGGACTTCCTTCATATCTTTCAGTCCTTTTTTGGTTGTCTGACTCTTCATGACCCATTTGGGATTTCCTTGGCAAAGATGCTGGAGTGGTTTGCCTTTTCCTTCTCTCCAGCTCATTTTACAGATGAGGAAACTGAGGCAAAGGAGGTTAAGTGACTTTCTGAGGGTCACACGGCTAGTAAGTGTCTGAGGCCAGATTTGAACTCAGAAAGATGAGTCTTCTGACTTCAGCCCTCTGTTCACTGTAGCTACCCCTCTTCATATTTTGAAATCCTTTCCTTTCCAGTGCTGCCTCTTCCATGATGACTCCCCTTAGAACCCCCAAGTATAAGTGATGTCTCCCTTCTTAAATATATCATACTACTCTGTTTGAAGCTCTACTCTGCTCTTATTTTGTAACTTGTATTAAAGCAGAGTATTTTTCTTATTCGTGTTTGTAATATTGCAGGCTCATTTGAAGATAGTAGTTAAGGAATTTTTCATCTTTGTATCCTCATTGTCCTGTGTAGTACATAGCGTATAATAGGCATTTAATAAATATTCGTTGAATTGAATTAAGACCTGACCTGGGTCCTTGGGAAATAGGAAGGAAGAATGAAAAAGGACATTCTGCAGATGGAGATGAAAGCAGCTTTTTGGGCGGACACAGACTAGATTAGTTTAGATGGAGCAGAGGCTTGGCAAACACTGTTAGTAGAAGATGAGGTAAATTGAAACCTGACTGTGAAGGGCATTGAATGCTAGGATAGAAAATTTTATTTTGTTGGCTGTGGAGCAGTGTTAAAGGTTAAAAAGGAAGGGGATATCATACACTGGCATTGTTAAATCAGGAGGTATAGAAGGAAATGAGGCCCAGAAATGTTAAGTGATTTCCTGGAAACTGCATAGCAAATGTGTGAATGAATCTGGACTAGATTTCAAGTATCTTGCCTCTGAGGCCAGTTTTCATAGAAGAGAAAGAGGAGAATGGAGAAGAATCTCTTGGCTGGGAGGTGCCAGTACAAGATGATACTCAATTTGGTAGTATCCTGGGCAGACACCAGAAACTGGTGTAGGGTCATTGAATGTCAGAAGTGGAAATATACAACGCTTTTGTCAGAGGTGGAGGGTATCTTTGAGACCATCTTTTCATTTTCTAATGGAGGAGATTAAGGTTAAGAAGAAGAGGGAAGTAACTTGTCCTCCCGTCTCGTTTATGGAAGAGCCAGGATTAGGATCCATGGCTCCTGACTCCTAGCCTGATGTTCTTTCTACGGCACTACAAACCTCCTCTCGTCCCCAGCCTCCTCCAAGCAGAGACCTTCCCCATTTGCCATTCTTTCTTCTTTGCTCCTTTGTCTTGGGCCTTGGGGATGTGGTGGGGGGAAGATACCTGTTTTAGGAAGCATGCCACCACCTTCCTGTCCATGGCGATTTGGGCTTATTCAATCATAGGGGGCCATTCAAAACCTGCCACTTATCACACTGTTCCATGGCCCAGCCTCGTGTGTATCTCAGTTTTGGGAGGAGCCTAAATTAAAAGTGACAAAGCCTGCTTGGTGGCTTAGTTGAAGTTTTCCTCTTGCAGGCCCATGTGGGTTTCAGGTGTGGCAGTTTTGACCCAGCAATGCCAACTCCTCACCTGCTTAACCTGCTTCTTTTTGGACCTTGTGCCATTGGGCTTGAGGGGCCTTAGCGTGTGTGCACAGCAAACACAAACAAGAGCCACCTGAAGCAGTGCTTCATCAATTTCCATGAGGCTCACAGCTGGCCATTTCCCAGTTCCCCTCCTGCCAGATTTTCAAGTCCTAGCACTCTGCATCTGTTCCACTCTATCTAGAGGCCCCTGAGCCTTATCCTCTGAAAGGAGCAGAATACTCCCTTCCAGAGTCCTGAGCTCAAGCTCCTTGAAAAGCACAAAGCATATCTCTGTGCAGTGTTGTAGCCCAGAGTCCCAAATGCAGTTCAAGAAAAAGATGACAAGATGGGAGGCCAGTAGGTACCAGGAAGAGTCAGGAGACTTGAGCTGTAGGCTTTACTCCTCAACTTTGGGTAGATTTCCACCCCCCTAGGTATCAAGTTATTTTTTTCCTCTGTAAAATGAGGGTTTGGATTAGACTAGGTGATCTCCAAAGGCACTTTTAGGCCTGTCACTTGTTTACGGTGGGACTGTGAGGGTGCCAGGCTCTGGGAACAGTCTGCCATATAAGCCTGCAGTTTGAAATCCATCCCCTTGATTTTCCACTCCCTCCCTGAATTCTTCCTTGACTTCTCCACTCTAAACTTCTCTTTTTCAGTGACATATGAGTGGCACCTAGGCTATCTCCTTAAAATTTTTTTTCCATATTGGCCATGTCCAAAAATGTGTATCTTGTTCTGTATTCTTGACT